GACAGGTATACCACCGGCGGTGACAGTCTCTACAATGGAAGGGATAGGGTCGTGCGTCTGTAACAGTGGGTACTATGGCACATCGTGTCAAACCAACCAAATGCCCATCATTACGACGCTCGAGCTCGGAAACGCCACCGCGTTCCAAGGGTCCGTGGCAGCCAAGGTAGGCTTCATGCGTTGCTCTTCTCTACTTTTATTCGATGGCGTAGAGCTATCAATTCTTCCGGGTCCAGCTCAATTCGAGCTCGTCCGACGTGACGGTGCACGTGGTCACGACCCGTGGCGGTGCAATCTACTTGCATCAACGACAGTCGTTGAGCGCAACTCTATAGACGCGGATGTCTACGCTTCGTTCGTGACGCCAACGCCAAGTGTTGGCAGCTTGCGCGCGTCGACGTTCGTGAGCGACGCCAACCGCACCGACGGCATCGACGCCATCACGCTCTGTGGCTCCCTTGGCGTCTTTCCCCGGGGCATCAACGACACGTTTCACTTTTGCCGCCAGCCCAACACGCAGTTTGTCCAAGGTGCCCCGGGGTACCTCTACATTGGCGTGTTTGGGTTCGCCGCTTCGCGCTTTACGATTGCCGTCAAGCTCAACAAGTGCTCGAGCGAGAGCTGCTCCAACCACGGCACCTGCGGCAAGGTCGTTGATCGATGCGATGCCGCGTCTTACGCATGGATTAGTATTACGCCGGCGTGTGCGCGTGCGATCGGTACTGGACGGGCGATGCGTGCAACGTGCCTCAGTGCCGGCCCGACTGTATCGACTTTGACAATTGCCCGGTAGCCTCTGCGGCAGTTGTAAATCTTCTCACGCAAAAAGTAGGTACCAGGATCCTCGACGCCCGTCGGTGTTGTCTCGAAAGGGCTGCGCAGCACAACCGACTGCTTTGGCAACGGCGTCTGTACGGTCAAGACCAACGCGGATGGCGTCGACCAGCCGACCTGTGTCTGTGACCCAGCATACCACTACGACCGCCCGAACGACGCACAGAGTCTCTGCAAGGTCCCGATTCCGTCCATCTCGTACGTCGAGCACTACAACAGCTCGTTCGTGGTCTATGCGCAGTCGTTGGACGAGCAGGTGATGCGACATTTCGAGTCGGTCGATCTCACGATGCCACAACATACTAGGTGGATATTGGGCAATGGGCTCTCTATACGATCAACGTGCAGCCCAGCTGGACTTATGTCCACGTCCAGCTCGACGCGGCCTCGGTCACCAGCGACGCACTGGTGCTGGTACGAAAAAACACGCTGCCGTCGCTGGACGTGACGCACCCGTACCCGGTCCAAGCGGCCGATGCCGCCGCGTGGGCATCGCAAGCCGGCACCCAGCGCATCTTGCTGACGCGCGCGGCGTCGACACTCAGCGATGGCCTTCTCTATATCGGTGTCTACAACACCCTCTATGCACGGAGCTCGCTGGCCTTTTCGCTCAACGTCCAAGCCAATAGCAGCTGCGTGAACGCATCGCGCGTGTGCCCCGCGGCGACGTCGACGTGCTCACCTGCCCTCGATGGTCTCTGTGCGTGTGCGACGGGCTACGGCGGAGCGTTTTGCGACCGCGGACCCATAGCCCACCGTCGAGTGTGGCACAACGCGTCCGCGATCAATATCTCAATCCAACTCCACCCTGGGCAGTGGACGGTACCGTCTTTTCTCAGTTTGCACTTGCGATTCATGTTTCTTTGGCTAGTACCTCACACTGGATGTCCCTGATCCCGACGTGGCGTTCATCAAGGTGCAGCTGGGCAACATTGACGCTGCGATGCCGCTTCTGCTCGTGCGCGGACCTCTTGAAACGGGTTTACCAGCGCTGGACCTCGGCGCTTCCTTTGATTTCGACGGTATGGCCGCTGGCGCCACGTCGCAGACGGTCGTGGTGCCTGTCTCGACGGCGTGCAGCGGGCCCACGTGCTACAAGATCGCCGTCTACAACAAGCGGTTCGCGGCCGATATCCTCCACGCTCAGCTCTCGGTGCAGCCTTTGGCAGCCCTCTCCGAGGTGTACCCGTCACCGACTTGTGGCGGCAACGGCGATGTGACGTATGTCCTTGTACGCGTCCTTCATAAACTGACTTTAAACGTCGTATTAGCATTTGCGGTGGTCGGGGGACCTGCCTCGACAGCAAGGACGGTCCGAGCTGCAGCTGCAAGAACGGCTGGCACGGACTCACGTGCGAAAGCCCGAATCCCATGGATATGGGCGCGCTGTGGTATGCATCCGAGAACGCGTCGTTGCTCTGCAGCGTGTGTACGTCAACATTTTCCCTGCCCAACGATGGCGGCGCTCTCTTTACGCTGCCGCAGTCGATGCAGCCCAACACGGGCATTCAGCTGCGCGTGACCAACCTCGATGGCGTCTCCCCCAGCGTCTATGTGGCCGAGGTCATCCTGTCAAAATTCTTCTCCACTGATTGAACGTGACGGCGTAGGTCCCCCCGCGGTCGATCTATGACTTTAGCCTCGTGTCGTTTTCGGTACAAGCAACATTTCTTGTGCGGAATGCGAGCCGACTGTGACTAGAATGGGACGGAGGAAGTCGTGCAGCTGCTCAATGAGCCGCTTTCGGGCCAGTTTTGGGTCCTCGT